TGGTTCAACCGGTAGAAAGCCGGTAAATTTTGGAACGGTTTGGTGAGTAAACTATTAAACCGGTATCGCACCGGTTCACAAACCGGTGAATTTTGGAAAGTGCCCGTTATCTGCGTAAATAGACAGATTTCTAGAAATCTCCGAAACATGTCAACAAATTTATTGAGGGGGTGCGTTAATTTGTTGACGTGTTCCGGCGATTTCCAAAAATCTGTCTCTTTAGGCAGATAACGTGGGTTGCAAATTTCGAAATGAAAGCCCCTGTATGTACATATGTACGTATACAGATGCGTGTATAACAGTATATGTGTTATGTGTATGTACACATACCTACATTTATGTCGATGGTTTCCATTCGCATCGACGCGCATGCGTCGATGCGATAACACAGTATCGTAGTATAGGATGATTCAAAAAGCGCGCCAGATTTGAATTGCTCGAAAAAGAGTTTTGGCATGCCATCAAAGTAGATGGGGCCATGCCCTTTGTCATTTTCCATACCCAGATGGAGAAGGTTTGATCCAACCGGCTCATCTTAATTCTAAAGATATTTAAAAAAAAATAGTGCTCATTTTTTAATGTATTAAATCTGGCGCCCTTTTTTGCTGTATATAGGGTGAATACAGGGTGTTTTCTAAGTTAGAGTTTTTCTTTTTAAATAACGTGGAACTTAAAAAAATACAGAAGTTTTCCAAATAATATTTTCTCGACAGCTCAAAAATAAAAGAGATAGGTATATTCATTTCAAATAATATCAAAAATCAAATGTTTTAATAATTATATCTTTCAAAATACAAAAGGTAAAATTCTTGAATTTAATCTTTTTTCCAGAAATCTGTCTATTTACGCAGATAACGTGAGTGGCAAGTTTTGAAATGAAAGCCCTGTACATATTTACGTATAATATGCATAAGGCTATTTTCGAAATTCTCGAATGTAGGGCTGAGAAATCTTACCTCTTTAGGACAATGTGACCATTCAATTGTAGTAATATTTACTAAGCTACATTAAAAAAATCAACTGGTTATAAATCATTTTTTATGTAACGTATCTGCTACTTGAGCTGTTTGAGAAGGGAGATAGCCTAGATCAAACCATTTATTTTGTCGGACAAGTGTTGTTTCATATTATTTATGAAACTATCTTAACATTCAGCTACAAAATTAACTGTTATTATTTACATTTGTATGACCACCAAATAGACATGTTTTCCACCTGCGCACTCTGTTAGCTACCTGTTTTTGGAATTTTCGCAACAGAAAATTTGGGCGTCGTCTTATCAAAATGAAGATACTCACGAAGATTTAGCCGGTTATTAATGAAAAAAGTTAAATCGACAACTTTTGAGTGTGAATAGCTACCTGTTTATTTGTAGGACAGTGTGACCATTTAATTGTAATAATATTTACCAACCTACATTGAAAAAATCAATTTGTTATTAATCATTTTTTATGCTTATGTTTGAGGGGGGGGGACATCGTAGACCAAACCCTTTATTTTGTCGGACAAATGTTGTTTCAAATTATTCATAAAATTATCTCAACATTTAGCTGAAAAACTAACTGTTATTAATTAAATTTTCATAGTCACCAAATCGACATGTTTTACACCTGCGCAGTATGTTAGCTACCTGTTTTCGCAATTTTTGAAGAGAAAAAAGTTGGGCGTCTCGGTGAAATGAAGCTGCATTGAAAAAACTAGCTTGTTATTAATGATTTGGAAAAAAGGTCCTCGGCCCCCGGACTAACGAGTTTTGTAGTCATGTTTAAACGCACGTGTGCTGTACAACGTTTTATCTATAAAGCGAAAACTAAGAAAATGGTTTTTTCAATTTTCGTTTATTAGTAGTTGTCTACTTTCATTTTACCTTTACAGGTTTAACTATTACAAAAACTAGTTGTGTTATAGATTCATAACCTAGTCCATAACACCACTAGTTATGTCATGCTGTAAACAACACAGATAAAGAGAAAATTAAATCCTAGAAAAAATGATGTGCTAGGATTTAGAGCATGCATTAGGGCCTTGTTGAATTTACTAACATTTTCCTACCCTGACGAGAGAATATCTTAAAAAATTGAAATAATCAATCTAGAGATATTGGCTCAAAAACAACTATAGCTGACTAGCTTCCCGTATGGGACCTCAGTAACTGCTGGAGACTGGCTAACTAACAAAAAAAAACTCTTCAGCATTGAATATAGGTAGTGTTGATTGAATATAGTGTGTTTAATTGAAGTTTTAGCTCAAGAACAGGGGCGGTACGTAATTTTAACTTTTATTGACTTAAATTATTGAATTATTGACTCACAATTATCATAAAAAGGACACAGTACGTTTCGATTTTTGAGGAATGTTAGATGGAGGGTTTCTTTGCCATGCTCTTTCTCCTCGTTAGTTCCAGGATGAGAACGGTACGATTTCACAAATGTTTCCTTTCTTTCGCATATCATAACCTCCCATAATTTCTCAAATATTTGCTATGTCGGGCGCATGTCCAGTAAGTAAAATTGAGTGAGTTTCCACAATGTAGGTCCTATTTGTTTTTGATTTCGTTTTTCAGAATATTTGTTGTTTAAATTAATAAAAATACACATTGTTCAATCTTACTGAACGAACCCGGGTATGTTATACTACAATGTTATATAAATGTGAGTTTAATTTACGTAAATAGGGACATAAAGCTTCCGTATTTTTTGCTCGGTATCCGAATCGGTATCGTACTGCGCATGTGCAGAAGCGATACGGACGCCGAGATATCGTACGTACAACGTAACGTTACGGCCCTCTCGCGGTATCCGTATCGGTAACGTATCTTGACATTCCTGACGCATGTGTCATATTTTAAATGAATATAACCTCACTTTTCTTCCGGGTTGATTTAATTTATTTAGTTTATACTTTCTTGAGTTTCTTGTGTGTTTAGTGCTTCTCTATCGCAAAAAAAATAACAATTTTATATAAAAACGCCGGAGTTTTGACACGAAAATTACTAAGTTATGAGATGCGTTTACGTTTACCGGAACAGGGAGCGCTTTAACAGCCTTTTCGCTTGTCAACGTATCTAGTTGCGTTACGGATACCGATACCGATACCGGCGAATTATTTCAAGTAGCTTTATGTCCCTAATCTCTCATATTTTTATTTATATCCTCATTTCTATTGGCTTTTACATACCAAATATGAAAAAATGTGACACAACAGAAACAAATTATTGATAATAGCTATTTATATAACAAGTACATAAAGTAAGGCTTTATTGTACGAATAATTTTATGGCCGAGCGAGATTGCGAGCGAGGCTATTAAATAATGAGTCAATAAAGCCTGTTTATGTAAGCGTTATATACATGATTTTATGTACGATTACGACTGCTTTTTGTTAAAAATTAAAAAAATTTAATGAAAAAAGTAAAATTCGCGTAGGTATACCTGTTTCACCTTGGCAGGTTGTCAGGACCTGTTTCACCTTGGCAGGTTGTCAGGACCAGTTTCACCTTGTCAGGTAGTCCAGGTAGGCAATAAAGTAGCACTTTACTTTACTAGTACAATAAAGTGCTACTTTATCGACGCAAAACTGTTCTATAAATAGCACTTTATTGATCAATCGGACATAAAAGTAATTTACCTTTGTTTTATTTTCAGATTTTGAAAGCCACAAATTTCAAGGCTCCAGGTAAGTTAGAACCTAGAATTTTTTGTACTCGTATAAACAAGGATTCAGTGCCGGGCCCTAGGCACTAAAAATATATTGGGCCCAATGATATCTCAACACAGACACCGCATCTTATTCATAAACTGATGTTTGTTGTGATGGGCCAAGGGTGGTGGGCTGGTCGAGCGATGTCATGATGGAAATGCATTAGAGGTTCAAACAAGACTCGCCTTCCCGTCATTAATTTCACCAAAATAATGAAGAAATGCGCACGGGTGCAATTCGTTTATCTATCTGCCTAAATGAACGTTACTAGTGATCGTTTTTAGTCTTGAAAGCTTCAATGTTTTGGAAGCAAATTCATTATAATAAGATAAAATCCATCCGTAACAATTTAGCAACTTAAATTGAGGGGGTAAGCCGTAGGTGGATCGCATGTCTAAATACTAAAAGTTGATACTTTCGCTCTCGATTAACGAATTTGATACGTTGTCAAAGTTTTGCATGGGCCAAGGTCTATATAAGTATGATGTGGTTAGAGCACATTCAAACCCCTGATTATTTTTAACGGCTGTCAAATGAGAGCAAAATTACCGGCACTTAATATATCATTTAATTCATTTTAAGCAAAACATATCTTGATAGACGATAAATACATAATGATTATAAAACAAAACAAATTTCGAATTTTATATTCTATACGCGTTAACAGTGCTATAGTGCACCCACATCTAATTAAAGACACTGAGAGACAATTTTTTTAATTTCTTTGTCTTTTGTTCTAGACATAGTTTATTATTACGGGCCCTTCTTTTGGAGGGCCCTATAGGCACGTGCCTTATGGGCCTAGGGGTTAATCCGGCACTGCAAGGGTTATGGCACTTGAAAAATGAATGTGCACAAGATTATTATTATTTTAAATGTGATTATTAACAGCAGTTACAAACCTTTAGTTAACATAACATAAACTTGACATGATGCTAATGTTGGCTTAGAAATGATCTCAAATTTATATAGACTTTACATGAATGTCACAGATGTGTTTACTGAGTAATAATTTAGATGTTTTCATCAATTTTGAATAGTTCTCAAATGGAAAATCTGGGGCAATACAGGTTGCATTCACAATATGACTCCCAATTTATTATTAAAATAATAAATTTAAAAAATCGCTCACCCAATTAATTAAAAACAATAACCAATTAAATACAAAAGGTCGCATTTTAAACTTTTATCGGTAAAATATAGCAATTAAAGCGACCTAATACAGCGGGTACGATAAAGACAATTATAGTACTGAACAGTCATAGTTATGGTGCTTTATTAATAAAAAAAAAAAACGAAAAATGTATTTTTGGCTCACGCCAATCTTGGTTTTCGCCCTCTTAGGGCTGTTGGTACGACTTTACATTATTTATACCCACTTAAATGGATTTCCTGTACCACCCTTTGTGCCAATTCTAGGACATTTACATTATTATTTGGATCCTCACAGTGAGTAGTTTTTCTAATATTTTGACTCCAAAACTTGAAAAATTATTCTAGATTCTTTGTCGTATCTTACTAGCAACTTGATAAAACATGGAGGCGTAATTAGGCAGTTTATAGGGCCTAGAAAACCAAGTTTAGCTATAGGGAATAAAGAGTTTTTACAGTTTATGTGCACTAATAATAAATACGTTTGTAAGGCAAAGTATTATGATTTTATGAAATCTTGGCTTGGAGAGGGACTCATTACAAGTGATGGTAAATATTATACGAAATTTTTACTATAGGGAATTAAAACTTATTGTAGGCCCAAAATGGTTGGCAAGACGTAAAGCCTTGACGGCTAGTTTTACTCAAACCTCTGTACTTAAATCATTTGTTCAAACTTTTGAGGAAAAAGGGGACATTTTGGTTACAATTTTGGGCAAATTGCAAAACCGCAATATCAATATTCATCCTATAATGAAACGATTCACTTTGGACATTATTTATGGTAAAACATTTCCAATAATCAAAGACTATTTTTGAATCGTTTTTTCCATATATAGAAACAGCAATGGGTCTAAAGCTTGATTCACAATCGACAACAAAAGATTCAGCTTACGCCAAAGCAATAGAAACCATTTGCACATCGATTCAAGAACGAATGTTTTCCTATTTGAAACAATTTCAGTTTTTTTATCAATTCACTGAAACTTGTGAAAAAGAAAGACGCGGCTTGGCAATTGTAGACTGGGCCTTACATAAGATAATTGAAAAAAAACGCGAAAGCAAAGAAAAAACCGATCAACACAAAAGCATGTTGGATTTGTTGCTAGAAATCGATATCGATGGCAAAGTTTTAAGTATCGACGATATACGAGAGGAAATTAATACGTTTTTGTTTGCAGTAAGTTTTAGTTAAATTCATTAAAAAAAAAAAAAAATACCACAAATATTTTAGGGTTACGACACGAGTAGTTCAGCAATGTCGTTGGCTCTTTATCAAATTGCTCAAAATCCTGAAATTCAAGAGAAACTTTATCAAGAGCAACTAGATATTTTTAAAGATGAGCTTAAGCCTCAAGTGACTTATGATAAGTTGCAAGAGATGGTTTATTTGGAGATGGTTATCAAAGAGACTTTGAGGATGCACACTATTGTGCCTTGTATTGGGAAAAAGATTACTAAGGATTTGATTTATGGTAATTAATGAGTCAAAATTTGAAGGTTTTCGTTTATACATTTTAAGTTTAATGTTAGATTTAATCCAATCTTTATAATAGGTAAAGATCCGGCAATAATAGGAAGCCAATAGAAGCTTCTAGGAAAATTAAGTCTTATTTGAAATCCGTCGTTTCTTCTTTGTGCCATCTTTTCTTAACCTTTTCAGAATAAGATGAGATTTTATGGTAATAGCATAGTTATTTACATTACAAGTACGTTTATGAATGATGAATGATTACAATAACGAGTGTGAAAGAGACGTTCTAATGACACGAGTTTTGTACAACTTTTTATCTACAAAGCGAAAAATAAGATTTTTTTAAAATCATTTCCGCTTATTATTCGTTGTATACCTTCATTTTACCTTTACAGATTCACCTTTGACATTTGTCAAATCACCAAAAATAGTTGTGTTATGAATTCATAACCTTGTCCATAACACCACTAGTTGTGTTATGAATTCATAACCTAGTCCATAACACAACTAGTTGTGTTATGAGCCTCATGACATAACTCAAATACTGGAAAAATAGTTATGTAAAAACGTCATAACCAAACGCTTGTAGATAAAACAATTTTACACCACTGTAATTTGATTTAACAAAAATAAGCCACTGTATCAAGATACAGAGTGATCAATATTTTATTATACCCAGCTCTTATAGGAAATCTTTCACGAAAGTTGGTAATCGAAAACAATTCCACCACTGTGTAAAGATCAATATTTTATTATCCCTGACTCTAAATACAGAAAATCTTTCACAAGAGTCGATAATAGAAAACAATTTTACCCACTGTAATTTGACCCAACAGAAATAAGCCACTGTATAAAGATACAGAATGATCAATATTTTATTATTTCCGGCTCTTGTAGGAAATCTTCTACGAAAGCTGGTAATCGAAAACAATTCCACCATTGTGTGAAGATGAGGGGTGATCAATATTTTAGTATCTCTGGCTCTGTTATAAGTATTCAGGTATATCTAGTTTCATTGTGATTGTACTAACATATCTACTATCCATCTGGCAGAAGTAGCTCTTGATGCTCTTGCACGTGGTTTTCTCGACGATATGAATAAATACGAGCCACTGTCTTGCCGCAAAAGAGATTTTTTTTTCAAAGTAGTTCATCAAGGTATTTGCTACACATAAATTAGGTTTCGAGTAAAATGAAAAATGCATATAAGGTTGAAGTGCTGAAAACCTAGATGTTCTAGTTGGGTCAGGCACATGAATATGAGCCCCTTCCTCATTGGATGTTATATTTTCAACTCTTATTAAATACATTGTTTGTAACCTCTGACCTGAAGCTAAAAAAAAAAATATCAAAGACCTAGTATAATTCAGTACAATCTGAGGATCCCATGTCATATTATAACTAGCCCTAGGTGGCCTCAAGTTTTTAACAGTCTTCAAGAACCTGCGGATTTGAAAGTTCTGACTAATATTCTCCTGTACAACTAGGGCTATAGCGGAACGGTGTTGGTTAAAAGAACCATATCTGCTGTTTCCTCTCTCCAACTCCTCTTGATAGAAAGCCAGAATTTGAACTACTGTGGCATGATGAATTATATTGGTTTGCCGTGCTATTGGACAAATACTGTGTCCAAGGTCGCTTCTGGAAAACCCTTCCTTACCAAAGCCTCCCTGATAACATGCCTTCTACCAGGGTAATCGAGTTCTGAATCCTCTCCAGGCTTGATCTAAAAGGTGGGAACAACAAATTAGGATCAGAATGAAAAGTTAACAGTTCTGATTTTAGTAACTTCATAAACAAAGGGTGCCAAGGCTGCGTAGGCCACAGTGAGACTACTAAATTACTTTCGCCTTTATCAGAAATTATTTTATTAAGTGTTCTCAAGATAAGAGAAAGAGGTGGGAAGGCATAAAATAAATAATTTGTCGGTTTTGTGATTTGCTTTTGAATCAAGTAAATCTATTATCTGGAAGACCAAATTTCTCAACAATTTTTTAAAGGCATAGTCTCCTAGCTCCCATTCAGTCTCTGGAGGTATTCTTCTGGACGACTCATCAGCTAAATTGTTTCCCGATTCCTGAACACATACATAACAAGAAAAGTTTTGCACCACCTCATTTTATATTATCTGCGATAGGTATCTAAATTAAAAAATTATCAGTAAAAAAATATTGAACAAATTCAGATTACTAAACCTTTTTTACTAAATGTACTGGACACATTCCGTAGTTAAAGATAACAGTATTTTTATTTATCGATGTGTATTCTGTAGTTACATTACAGGGCGGAGCAAAATTTTTTTGTTGTGTGTATACAAGAAGCCTGTATCCACAGGTCTCTGGTCTCGCACCACTGCCATATTTCCTTTGCTAAGGCACCTAGGTCAGGAAACTGTACACTTCCCATTTTGTAAACATAACCCTCTGCGGTGGTATTATCAACCCTTAAAAGGATGTTAGCCGACTTTAGCTCCGAAACTGATGTCGACTACCGTGGTTATTTCTACTGGTACGCTACCTGGAAAGTGCGTTTGAAGTAATAGGATGGCCTGCTCCTCTTCTCCTTTCGTGAAGGAGGCCAAGGTAAAACGTCAATATTGTATCCTTCTAAAAACGTTCTTACTGTCCTCGCCGTATGTGCTCGAGTATTGTCGTGCATTAGGATGGAATTATTGTTCGCTCGTGCTACATATGGCAGAATTATAGGTTCCAAAATATCTTCATGGTACTGATTTGCAGACCATCACCGTACCCCCTTGATACTTATCGACTTCCTGGATAGTTTCTAAGCGACTAATATTTCCAGCTGTTCTCCAAACTTTTGTTCTTCTCGAGTCTGGCCTTGATCCAAATCTAGATTCGTCCGTGAAGAGGACACGCCTCCAATCTTCGACATCCCATTCTAAGTGTTCCCGGGCCCAAGGCCCAATCTAAACGCCTAGCTCAATTTCCTCTGGAAAGAACAGGCACCTGTACTGGTCTTCTAGAATGAAATCCATACTGGAGGTAATTACCCCCCCCCCCCCCCCCCCCGAGGATCGAATTATGGAGAGAAAAATCACGATGCCAAAAAAAAAATTCATAATATATTGAAGAAAATACATTTTTGTTTTGTTTTATTTTTCTCACAAGTGAAATAATTGTTCTGGAAAAGTGAATGACCTTGAAATTTGAAAAAAAAATCGTCTGCGGTACGTTTTTGAAGGAGGCCCCCTCAGAACCCCGTACCATTTACCCCCCCCCCCCCCCAGACTACTGGTCACGCGTCGCCACTGTACCCATGTAGTCTATTTCGTATAGTCTGGTCACTTACAGCCACCTGATGGACATTTTGGAGTTCCATTCTTATCTGGTTAGCAATGATATATCTGTTTCTCAAAGCTTGCATTTTAATGAATCTGTGATGGTTTGGTTGTGTAGCTCTTGCAGCTTCCCTGTATCTTGCCCGAACATCCCCGGAATCCTGATATGGTTGCCATATGGTTGCACTTTTTGAGCTGTTGACAGCTTCTGCTGTGGCCCTAACTATCATACTTCCTTGCAGCCGTGATATTTGGATGAAATTTAAATATGTTATTGGGGCTGCCGTAAGCAACATTTTTTACCATGGGCACAACCCTGTATATATGACAGGTGAGGCGTGGTTAGCTGTCAAATATTCGAATCTTATATCCAAAAGCAGAGTAACTATGGCAGATTTTGATCAACAAAAAATCTATTTCTACTAAGTCGACCAAGTTAAGTCGAAAAATGTCAACCATTTTGACACTTGTCAAAACCCTGCCAAACGGCAGCACTCATCTTTTCCAGTTTTCAATATTTTATGAGGTCATCTGACATTTTTAGTTTGTATGTAAATTCTGAATTCAAAAATTGAAAAAAAAAAAAAGACAGAACTGTCAAAACCTGTCATTTGTTTTAGTAGAAAAAAATACTCTAATCTGGTTCTTTCTCATTTTAAGGTAGTTTATTGGTGATAAAACATTGAACAAAGTTCATGCACGTCACGTTTTGACAGCTGTCACAATCTGTCAATAGCTTTGATTAAAAAAAAATAAAATCTAGTTCTTTTTCAATTTATGTTGGGCTTATTTATGATAACGCATGAAAAAACATTATACGCAGGTTTCAGATTTTGACAGAAATGTCAAATTTCATTTTAAAGTACATAGTTTTAGTATAAAGGATTTTTTCTATTTTGGTGTCATATCGAAGTCTTTTCGACACTAAAAGTAGTTTCGAAAAGAAGCTCGTTGTGACACTCCTTTTTTACTTATCGGAGGTTGGTAACACTGGCTGACTGATGGCCATCGAACTGTCATTCGCGATAAAAAATAATAGAAGATTTCTATATTTGGCATGTAGTGTTACCAACCTAAACATATGAAATCAAGAAATATGAGAATAAAATTTCCAAGAAAAGTTTTTTTTTTAAATTAAACAATACCAAAATAGAAAAAATAGTATAAAATATTCGTTTCATAAGACATTTTTTCTACCGACATTTCATAAGACGCTATTAAACGATTAAAATCTGTATCATAATGAACTTCATTACGATACAGATTTTCATTATAATACTCATTTTTAATATTATACAATGTTGATAGATGGCAGCACTAGTTGAGATATTGAACATTTTTAACGTTAATTTTGCGTAAAACAATTATTTTGATAACTATAGATAAGACTTCGAATTGTTTAAAAGTTACCTGAAGTTTGGGACGAAGAATAATTATTATAGAAATAATGAGTGATAAGGAAGAATTTTTACTTTTTTAATTATTATACATTGTCAATAGATGGCGCCACCAGTTAAGAAATTATAGCTACTACTGCTATGTGTTTGCTTGATATATCACCAGCGAATGAAAACACTGTTTTACTAATAACTCGGTTTAATTCTGGGCACTGAACATACAAATAAATCGAAATACTTTATTTTGTTAACAACAACAACACGATATCATAATTGCGCGGCAACAAGCTGACTAGAAGTAAA